TCAGTTTAATGAATAATAATTCAGAAGTCAAACAACAAAAATCAGCGTTATATTTTCAAAATTTCACAGGACTAGTTTCGATGGTTTTACCGAACCACCATCTTCAGCTGCAAAAACACAAATGAACGAGATAGTGTATAATGATCAGATAAGTCCTGTGAAAATTTGAAAATATAACGCTGATTTTTGTTGTTTGACTTCTGAATTAGTATTTGTTCGGCATGTTATTGTGCCTTAATGAATAATGCCGAATTCACATCCATCCTTCTCCCTTATATTTATTAAAAGACATTGTTTACAGACAACTCTTTGCTGAGCACAGGCATAAATATAGCAGTTATCTTCCGGTATATATGGATGGATCCAAGTAAATGTTCATGCTGGGATGGCATTTGTAATTGAAGATCACATAGAGGGTAAACGTTTGCACCACGTTTTCTCAGTCTTAACATCTGAAATAACTGCAATATTCAGCTAGTCTTTTGTACATCTCAAAGCTCTGCCACAAGAAGTTCATACTGTATACAGATTCGTATAGTACGCTGAAAGCGTTAGAAGCTTTTTCCGACCCTCAGAATGCTGTAATAGTGGATGTTCTTAAGATACATATAAACTTAACGAGTCATGGATATGAAATCCTGTACTGCTGGGTTCCTGGGCATGCAGGAATGAAGGGAAACGAGCTGGCAGATATCATAGCGAAATCTGCTGTTGAACTGTCCAGTTGTCTCATTCCATTTAGAGATATCTGTTATGTCATCAAAGAAGAAAAGATCTAAAAAAAAAAAAAAAAAAAAAAGGCAGCAACCTTGGGATGTTCAGCTTCAAAAAAAGTTGAGAAGTATAAAACCTAGAATTCAGCATGCTTGTGATTTTAATGGAAATCATAAGGAGGAAGTTCTTTTGATTCATCTCAGGATTGGTCACACTAGAGTGACACATAACAACCTACTGAAAGCTGAAAATAAGCCTATTTGTTTAAATTGTAATATCTGTCATTTTAATTGAGTGTCCAAGTTTTAATAATCTTCATCAGAAATATTTTAATAGCTATGTCTTACCTCTTGACTGTTTAATCGGAAGAGAGATCAATTGTAATTCATTTTATTATTTAAAAGAGGCTGGCTTTTATTACTTAATGTAATGTGTTTTGAAGATTGTGTATTGTATTTTAATGTGTGCTTTTAGTTTGCTTTTATATTACTTCATCCTCTGAATTTGATACATTTGTCCACCTTTTTTATTTACTAATAAATTCTTTGATTTCTTCAAATTAGAACATCCTACCTCGTTTTTGGTGCATTATAATCATCTTTGGTTCTGCACCAATAATTTCACTCTCGTATAAATTCACAAAAATAAGAGTAAAAAATATCCTCCATAGGGCTGTTATCGTTTGACCCTACGTATTTCCTTCCTACAAACAGGACACTTAATAATGGCTACTGAGTAAACCTTCATTTACACACCAGTCAATTAATGCTTTTTTCCCTTTCATTATAAATCGAAGAAAACTTCATATTAATCTTACCACGTTCAGCCATTTTACCATGTAAACCACAAAATAACAACGTACTTATCGAAAATCCGACACAGACTTTCCATATCTTTTTCCAGGATTCAAATTGACTGTCATCATGCAACCAATTACGTCATAATAGGGTTTCCAAAACATTCAATTACTCAGGTTACCATAAATAAACCACCACTCGGTGATAAATGAAACAACTTTGCGATAATACAAGGGGTACCCTTCTCTCTAATCTAACCAGCCTTTGGTTAAAATTATACTTTATCCCATAAATTCAAATATTTTTCCCCACATAAGAGTGTTCTGTTTTGTTCTACTGGCCTGTAATAATTGCTTTTAATTGAGCTTTCAAAGAAATGTCATGTTTCCTTATTCTTTCACTAACTCACTCCTTATGTGTTTGATAGGATTTAATTCCAGAGGATATGGTAACTTTGGGACCACCATAAATTAGACAGGTTTGGGTTATCCATTAAGCAATATAAGCACATGCTCAGAGTATCGAAACATTTCTCATTGCCGGTTTTACTGTGGAATGCATGGTACCGCTAAACCAAAACTGAGAGATGGAATAAATGAAGGAAAAGCTGGTATACACACATGAAGGGAAACCAGAATCTTTTAAGTGCCTTTAAACAATCTGGCCTTGCATTTAGGACTATGTGTTTAGGATCATTGTCTTGATAATATTGGAATGTATTTTGTTCAAGTTTTCTTTGAACATGCATTTAGGTTTTCATTATGCTCACGCATATTAATTTCTAATGAAATGTGTATTTCCCATCCCAGTGGCAGTGAAACTTCCCACAACCCTTCACTCTTATGCTTAACAGTAAGTTTTTCAGATTAAATTCTTCATTTGGCTTAGTTTTCTTGTTGACGAAGAACTTCCTTTTAATTGATCCATATGTATAACGATTCTTCTAACAGTTTCAGGTTTAACTTTTGTTGAAAATATTCTTTTAAATCTGTTGCAAGTTTCACAGCATTAATATTTGGATTTTGTTTTATTTTTCATAGGATAAATCTCTGACTCTTTTGTATTAGCTTGGAATGTAGTTCAGACTTCAGTGCATTTTTAATAGTTCATCTCAATTCCTGGTCTTATAACATTAAAGATAGTTGAATGCTTTATATCATTTTTTATATCATTTTTTAAAGATTTTTTGGATGTTTTGAACACGTTTACAGCCTTTCAAATGATGAGTAATTAAATTCCGAACACAAGGTGATTAGTTTGTAGCATCCTTTTACTTGCAGTAAGGAACTGTTTAATAATAAAAATAATAAGGATCTTTTTAATAACGACTAAACAAGTAATAATTTCCATATGCAGACGATAATATTGTGGCGTATTTTCATTTAAAAGGGAAATTTATATTGAATTTAATTTTCAGAAACACACTTTCATGGTTAAATGATGTTTCTTTGCAAAGCATTTCAGCTAATTGGGAGAAAAATTGACTCGAAGCATTCTTTACTTTTTAAGTAATATGTTCTCCACTCATACTATGTGTGTGTGGGGGGGGAAGGTTTGTGCAGAATTTTAGTAATTGATTATTTCTGTTATATCTGGATTTTTATTTGTACTGTATATGTTTTTTTACCCCCATACAACTGACAAAATTTATTCATTGTTGTTCATACTTTTATTTGATGTGTTTTTGTGAGCTCTGCATAAATGATAAAGACTTTATGAGGAAGAGTTTTAAAAAGTATATGTAATAAAAAGTTTGGAAGAATAATTATCGGTACTTTTTTTGTCGATGTAAAGTTGCGAGTATTTTCGCAAAAAACTTTATTTTTTAACCTTTAAAAGACTGGGAAACTTGGAAAGGTTTCACTTAAAAAGACGGATAATCCAAATACATTTCCATCCACTTTTAGCTGCCATTGTAAAGGGGAACTACTACTATTTTGAAACCTTTCCTTTGGGTCGCCTTTGTTAATTTTCAGATAAGAGACTAGGGAATAATACAAAGAAATTTGTTATCTTTTCCCTAAACTAGGGAAACATATGATGGTGAGATTTTGTAGCTAAGTAATTGTGGAATGGTGCAGTATTAACTTTTGACACTGCATTATAATGAAAATTCATCTTAGTAGCAAATACTTCCTAGGTATGCCTAATATCTTCTAGTACATAGCCCAATCAGTTTTTATTTGCTTTCTAGTTTAGAATTATATGCACCGATTTTAATTTATACAGTCAAAAGTTGTTAATTCGGACATAAATAATCCCGAATGATCTATAATCCAGACCTCAAAGCTGCAAACTTTCTGTGCATGTGTCGTGTTGACGCATGCACGTAAGACCTTTACGGCTGCAAATATGCGTGTGCACATGCGCATAACACGTTTACGCTTGCGCGTTTAATGGATAACGGACGGTGTTGTAAGCTAAGTCTAATTCTATTCAGGTATGCGCAGATTGCGTGCCTTAATCTGAATGGACCGGCTTATTATTTTGAAGACTGTTAGAGCAATTTTATAAAAGTAAAGCTTGAACTTTCGATTATGTCAAATAGAATTTCTGGATATATATTTACTAATATGTAAAGGATCTACAAAGCGAAAGTATGTTTCGAAGTCCATTACACAAAAAGTGGAATTCCTGCAAAAAATGGATAAAGACATATCCTTCGTTTCTCTAACCATTCTGAAATCTGTTTATTAATTTCACGCTGCTGTGTAGCAACTTTAGTGCATAATTTTAAAAGTTTTCAGTCACTTTTCATACTGTATTATTTTAGTTTAAATTGTTGTTTAATATGTAAAACCAACCTCATTACCAATGCCTTTATTTTCGCAATGGTTGGTCATGGTGATATATTTCCTATTGCAGAAGTGTATTAAATAACAGAAGTATTCATGTTATCATAATGTTGAATATTAAATAATTTTGGATAAATAACAAAATCTAACTTTTAATGCAATCTCCCAGTTCCTTTACTTATATTTGAGAATGTGTTTTTCTCATAATGAAAAAATAAAATTATAAGAAGTTTGACTTTTGTATGACAAAAATTGACGAGAATATTTAATTTAAAAATTGCAGCTTTTATGTTATTTTCAACTTCCCTGTTAATTAATTGGAGAAAATATGTTTAAATGAAGTACAGCAATATATATATGTATATAATTGAACAGGCATTACAAGGAAGTCATAATGTCCACAGCAGATTTTTTAATTTTGTGTGTGTCAGTTTGTTTCAATGTAATATATTTTAGATGATGTATTTGTTTCACTATAATTCTTTTTGTCAAAGTGATCCTCACTTTAAAAAAAATCAAGCCTTTGTGAAAATTCTACAGATATTTTTTATTATAAAAAAGTGCATTTTTGTATACAGGATGTGCATTTTTTCTAGATTACTGTATCTGTAATGAATTAATTGTATTAAAAAAATCTTATTTTTCTTGTATATGTTTTTTTCACTTTTATAATGCCTGTCATGTTCTATTTTAGGGTACAATTGCTTTACCTGCTGGTATGCGAGGAGCTATTGTAGTCAGAGCTGATGGTAGTCAGTATCATCTTCTTAATGTGGCTCCTCCCCCTGGATTGCAATCTAGTTCTACTACTTCTCAGAATACAACATACAGGCTGCAGTCATTATCAGTATGCTTTTTTTTTAACAATTCTGTATCTCTTTTTCTTTTTTTATTGCAATCATAAGTAAAATTAAATAGTTTATTTACATGTAGAATTAGTGGGTACTTCCTTAATAAAGTGGCTCCAGGATTGAATCTCTGATCAACCAAGATATCTCACGAGCTCGTGAAGTGCGAAGATAAAAGTAACTGGCACAATATACAGTAATAACAATAATGCTCACATGTTGTTTCCTAAGAATTATATTTTTTATGATTGTTATGAGAAGGCCATATTTCCGAAATTGCTTTCAATAAGTCATCAAAAATATCATTTTGTCCTATGTACCTCCTTCACATAAATTCCGAAAGATGTAACCAACTTCTTCAAGTTGCTCCGTTTTATATGCCTTTTGGCAGTCTGAATTAATTGTTGATCGATCTTGTACATGTTTTTTCGGAAGTTACAAGCATCTCTGTTCGAGATTAGAGCAAGAAGCACTTGTCATCTTCCCGACATATTCCTCTAAAAATCCACTCTTGTGGGAATATTCTGCCACAGTTGGTCTTATGTCGAGTGAACAAACTTTTATCGCTTTTAACTACTGTACTGGGTACTGCCAGTTTGCTCATAGATTCTTTACATCAGATATAGGGAACATATTCTCCACATTTAATTGGTTCCAATGAATTGCAGCATTTTCACACAGATTAAGCTGTTTGTCACACCATTTGATGGATGTCAACTCCTCTGCCCTAGAATACATAAATCTAATGGCAGTAATTAATGGTATTCTTGAAGAACTAAAACAATTTCAAACATGGAGGCCTCCTTTCTTTTGCAATTTTTTACACTGCACCTCCAAATGATTTCATCATTAATATGTAGTTTCATGGTGTGGCCATTTTTGCATACTTACTTATCGGATAAATGACCTCTTATTTGAAAAAATGTTGTGGCATCCACCTTTTAATTTCGTAACTTAAAGGTACCACATATTCACAAAAAAGCAAGAAATATTTTTAAAAAACTAATACAAATTCAAAAATGAACAAAAATGAAAGACAATATTAATATAAGAATATATGGTGAGAGCAAAAATGTAATGTGGCAAGATATGTAGGCCATTCAGTCCTGGTGGGGGGGCGCTTATAGCAAGAAAATAGCAATAAGTGCAATGCAATTGAAATTTCAGTTTTTTTGGGAAGGTTTCCAAGTAAGATTTTTTTTAGTTCTGGTGTTGCTGAAAAGTTGCACCACATAACATTTTTAAAATATGAAAAAAATCTGTAAATAAACAATACCAGAATTGTCAGATCCTTCTAAAAGATTTAAATCGAAAATGTTTTCATGAAGCTAAAACAATCAAATACTCATTCTAATTTTCTTTGATTTCATGGTAGCTGCACTGATCCAATTATTATAGGATTCCCATTGGGGTTCAGTAATTCTCTCATACTTTGGACCCCATCTCACTCTAGAAGTATGATATTAAAGTTCTGAGAAAATTCTAAATGTCACCTTGCATATGAAACTTCAGGATCTGATGTATTCAATTCTGCTAGGGTTATTTGCAAATTAGGTGCAGACAAAATTTTATAAATCGTAGATAATTAACCTTTCTTAATGGAGCCTCCGTAAGTCAATATGTAAAAGAATTGTTCTGTGTTTTGGCTGAATAGCTTTTCTAAAATATGTGATATAGTCTAGAAGAGAAACACGTCAATGTGGCAATCAAAATCGCAATAACAACATTGTATTTAGTGTACATATATTAAAACAATCAATTTCAAGGGCAGCTAAAGGTTTCTCCTCATCAGGAGAACGAAATAACTAGAAAGGGGAAAAAAGAAGAAAAATAAAGCATCGGCAAAGGAGCCTCAGAAACACGTGGTCGTTATCATTGAGTTTGTTAATCAAAAGTTCGTCAAAGTTTTACAAAATTTGAAATAGGTAATAAAACAGATTCAAAATTCGGTCTTCCAAGTTCCCATGTTCGGTTGGCAGACTTACTAGGTAATAAATTATTGAAAATTTGATGGCTTTAGGTACCATTGTGTTTTCACAATGTGAGAAACATTCATGTAGCTTCTTGATTATTTAGTTTCCTTAAATATAATACATGGCGATAAGATTTGGTGGCAACAGTTTGAAAAGTGAAATAACACAAAATGCCATTTTGCGATATAATAACCCTTTGTGTCTAACACCCTTTTGGGCTTTAAAAAAAAAAAAAAAAAAAACACTCATATTCCAAATAAATTCTTTACACATTAAGTTATTGCCCCCTCTCCATGTGTTTGTTCAAGATAAAATGCCATATAACATCTGTTGTATAATTTTTGAAGTTCAAGATTATCTAATCAACACTGGCCATGTTGCTCATACAGCCATTAATGAGAAATAAATGACGATTTTTCAAAAATCTGGTTTCAGGGGATAAATAGCATTTTTAAATCTAGAAGAACAATTTTCAGCAAGAAGGTGATACTGCCAGATTTAGCGAGTTTTCACAACTTAACAAAGTTTCCCCAAGAAGGTGGTGTTGCCTGATTTGGCAAGTGATACTGGCTCATAATCTGCAGTCTAGTTGAGAATAGGAAATCCAAAATTTCATATTTCATTAGGTTATACTTTTTAAAGGTTAAAATTTTTATGGAAATGCAACATGTCAGAATGCAACATGTCAACTTTATTCTAATGACAGTTTTTTTTTTTTTTTTTTTAAATAGAGAAAACAGCTCACTATGTACATGAAAAGAACAATAGCATACATAATGCCAAATTTGTGCAATTCTCTTGATTTTTTTTTAATAGCAAATACAGATACGTATACATGGGAACAGCTCGCAAAAAAGTTATAGAAGGATTTCTTTAGAAAAGTGTTTTATTGCGAATGTTTCTTGCTTTTTAAATTTTATTGATTAATTGCTCTTTTATGGAATATGTAGTTCACCATTATTTTGAAAATGACTGTTGCTTTTTATTGGTTTGCATGGTAAAAAATTAATTGGCAACAAAATAATGATTTTTCAAAAAGGGTTGTGAATAATCAGAAAGTACCCATTTGTGGAAGAAAATTAAATGTGAACAAATTGATATGTTTTTATTTAATTTTCTTTTTTTAATTGCTTATTGTTATATGTATTTTATAATGTTTTATGAGAACTAAAGAACAGTATTTAATTCTGAATTTTTATGCAAAAGTATAATAATTTTTTCCAATTTAAAAATTCCTTTCTGCAGTTTCTTTCTGAGTCTAATAGTATACGAAATATGAAAGTATAACTGTGTTATTATTTCATTTACAGGCTGGTGTTCCGGGTATAATTAGAACGTTATCTCCTCAACAAGTTGTATCTGTTCCAGTCTCTTCAGCTACTATAAAAACACTACAGGTGTGTATTGCTTCTGGTCTATGATATTTTTATCCACAGGAAACCTCTCCTAGTACTAATCACTTTAGGATAGCCACCTTTGAATATAGCTAGTATTTCTGTAAACATACATTTATATTTGTAATCGCAATTGCCTTTTCTTGAGATCAATCTCAGAGAGATTTCACTGTGTATATAGTGTCTGTATATACGCAGTGTGTCAGAAATAAATGTGTTTGTTTTTTATTATCTTATTGCCCTTAAAATATTTACCTAGTATTGACAGACCTCATTATAAAGTCACCTGAGTATAGGCTCTTGCCACTTACATTTAAACATTTTAAAAGGTCTCAGCTGAATGTTTTCAGTTTGTTTTTATTATGCATGGCAGGCAAATTGTGGTTGGTGAGCTGCATGCAACTCTTTGGTCCCTTAAATGAAATTCTTCTTTAAAAGGAGTAGTTTTATGTTTGAAATTTAACTGCACTTTGAAACGGAAATTGTATAGTTAAAGGCTTCTGTATATAATTAATTTAATTTTTTAAATTGCATTTTGTGTGTAATAATTTAATCAGTATCAAACTGACTGCCATGTGCTCTTCATCAGTATAATGAATAAAGTAACCCCCTCCTGCAAATTACTACTTTGGCCTTATTGCTCTTAGAGCAAGTAATAACCATCAGAACAGCACAAAATAAAATGTAATGAACATTTAAAAAATTATTCACACTTTTTTTATCTCTCAAATTTGATATACTCTCTGTTGTAAAAAAATGTATACTCCCAGAATAAATTGTTGTGACTGAAACAAAACATGCAGATGTGGTTTGGGAAATTGTGTAAATGATTTAGCTTGCAGCACGTCAGCATTGTGGAGTGATAAAATGCATTTCTGAAGTGTGCAGCTGGTAGGATTTAAAAGGACTGGTATGGCGAGTGATGAGCATTTACAACTGCACTGACGGCTTACAGTGTAAAAAAAGATGGTGCTTGCTAGGCATTCAAACCGACCCCCTTTCCAAACCAACTGACCTCTAAGACGTACTTGACAGCATTACGAACAGTTGTCGGACTTTGAGAGGTGTCTTATCATAGAACTAAAAGATGCCAATTGGTTGAACATGCAGACTGGTTAGCATATTGTTTGAGGCAGTATGGTCATTTTCTGTTGTTGGAACTAGTGGGTCATCAAAGACATAATCAGCCACCGTATTGGCTCAGGGCGTTTCCGGGCCCCAATGCACGAGATGGAACATGCAGTTAGAAGAGCTGCATCAACTGTTATCCTATCATCCATTCAGCACCACTTGCCAGTTCGCAGGGACCCAGAGAAATGATTATTCTCAGAAGACTAAGTGACGCTGGGCTGATGCTTGCCATTGACACTCCAAGTCATCTTGTCTTCAAGCAAAGGCATCTTGTGTTCTTGCTCAAGATGGACAGTGTCCAATTGGAGAAATGTGATTTTAATGATCAATCAGACTTTCTGTCAATGGTGACTGCTCCATATATGTCTGGAGATGAGGAGGTAGTGGAGGGGATGAAACTAATAATCCAGTTCATGACTAATTTAGTTAAGGCTATTTTGATGTTTCAGTATGTCATACCTGCCAACTTTTACGAATTTTTCGTAACTTTTACGAAAATGCGTTTGTCTTTACGATTTTACGATCGTAATCCATTTTTTACGATTTTTTTCCTTTTTCAAGTGTTTTTAGTGATTTTTGTCGGAATTTTAGAATTTTTTCGCCAATTCAGCATTTTTGGCAATTGTTTTTTTACCGCCAGCTACCGACTACTTCGACTCCAGTGAACCTGCGGTTTCTCCCAACTCGCCGCTTAACCAGCCAATCCAATGCACAGAACTTGTTTCTCCCACTCTTTTCTTTGTGGGCGCCAGATTATTTTTTTCGCGTTCGCTTCAGCAGCAAGGGAATTACGACAATCAGCGAGCGTGGATTGTCGCATTCTGTTTGTTTGTTTGTTGTTGTTTTTGTTTGTTTGCACGTGCTACGAATTTTCTTAATTCGTCGTTGTTACAAAATGAGTTAAAAAAAACCGTATTCTCAATATTTTCGGCCTGCCTACAAAGCCGAATTTCCAACAACTAAAGAATCCTTCAAAAGAAATAACTATGCATTTTGCAACGTGTGCGTGTGTGACTTCATGATAAGTCACGGTGAAAGAAGCGACATTGTGAAGCATGTTAAGTCTAAAAAGCAGGAAGTTAATGCTTCGGCTTCGACAACATCAAAGAAAGTCAATGATTTTTTTTTCAAATTCGGCTACGAATTTTTATGCCGATGTCATTTTGGCAGAGTGTTTGTTTACTGCATTCCTCATCGAACACAACGTGCCGCTAAGCGCTGCCGATCACACCGGTCAACTTTTCAGATGGATGTTTCCCGACTCCAAGATTGCTCAGAAATATGCTTTTGCTCGCACGAAAACATCTATTGTGAACGAAATTGCTTGCGATGCACAAAGTAAAACGATAGCTGCACTCCAGAATTCAGCATTTTCGGTGTCAATCGATGGCAGCAACGACAGCGATCGTTTACCCCATCGTTGTCACATATTTCTGTGATGTTTCTAATGAAATAAAAACTCATCTTTTCCGTCTTCCATTGTTAAATGGAGACGCTACGGAGGAAGATATTGCCTCCTTGGTAATTAATGAGTTGAAACAACTTAACATCCTAATATCAAACTGCATTTCATTTGGTGCAGATAATGCTCATGTCATGTTGGGTGGTAAAAAGTGTGTAGCCTCTTTCTTCAAAAAAGAACAAAATGAATTAATTGTTATTGGATGCCCATGCCACTTAATTAATTTGGCAGGAGAAAAAGCTGCAGCTGCTTTACCATTAAATATTGACCAGCTTCTGATCGATGGTTTATATATCTGGAAAAAAGTAAAAAGGAAAGAAAACCTAAAGAAATTTCCAAGAACTGTGCTCTGGTGTGATGACGAGAAAAATTCTGAAACATGTATGCATGAGATGGTTATCCTTAGGCAGAGCGCTAGGAAGGTTTATTGAAAGTGAGATGCATTGCTAAAATATTTCCACGAAGAGACCAAAACGAAACCATAGATCCCATCAAATTTGTCGGCGTATAAGATTCCGAAAACCAATTTTGCTTCTAATCAAAATGCTTTAAAAGGGAAAAGCCAACACACAGAATCAAATCCTTTAAAAAGAAAATGCTTAGAAGACTCCTCAAAGGTCAACTTTGTTAAAGAAGTTGAAGGGAAGAAGAAACAGTCTTCTATTAGCCGGGAGGAAATGATTTTCTATCTTCTTTCTTCGGATTTGAACAAAGCATATTGTAGTTTTGTGTTAAGTACCATTAAGATTTTTGTAAGTGTAAATACCTTTCTACAATCAGCTTCGCCAAAATCTCCCCTGCTTATCCAAATTCTTAATGATCTTTTGAAAGAACTTTATACTAAGTTTTTAAAACCATCCGTTGTGAAAAACAGTGTGTTGATTCGTGTTGCCTATAATAGTTTGGCAAATCAAAAGGATGACAATGATCTTATAATTGGAAATCAAACCAGGGAACTTGTAAATTCTTTGAAAGATCATGAGAAAAAAGAATTTTTTCAATGTGTTAGAAAGTACTTTTCCTCAGCCTGTGAGTAAGGAAGTTTCCTTTGCAAAATGAAGTTCTTTTAAATGCTGAAATGGCAAATTTGAAACAAATTGAAAATTCATCTTTTGAAAAGATTTGTTTTTTATTGATAAATTTCCATTTTTGTTAACAATTAAGAAAATGAATGCCATAATGATGCTTTAGATAAACTACAGAACCAATTTTCTGCTGCACAGTTTGAAGACTTTGCCAGTTCTGGCGAAGATAGACTTGATGTCCTCGTTGGTACCTTTAAAAGAATAAAAAGAGCTGATGGAACACCAAAATATGATAGACTAGCAAGAGTTTTATGTGCTATTCTCGTAATTCCACACAGTAATGCTGAGTGCGAGAGAGTCTTCAGTGTTGTGAAGAAAAACAAAACTGCTATTGAACAAAACTATGTTTCGTTCTTCAATTTCACCAAAAACTCTAGAAAACATTTTAATTGCTAAATGTTATGAGGAAACTAATTGTTATGACAGGAAATTTTCCAAAGAACTTTTGGCTAAAGCCAAAAAATGCACTCTAAATTCATTGCAATAATTTTTTTGTGTAACATTAAGTTCTTGTTTTATGTTTCCTAATAAATTTTTTAGTTACTACTTAATTGAGATTTACTAATGTAAGTACAATTTTCTTTTTTTCTATTTGTATAAATTGTTATTTTTTTTAATATCAAAGCATGATATTAATTCTTCGTGTTCTTCTGAATTTTGGAGAAATCTTCTGAATTAGGGGGAGAAATCTTCTGAATTTTTATCTTTAGAGGTTGGCAGGTATGGTATGTTCAGTTCTGCAGTTCAATATGTTCAATTAATGCAATGACTGGCATTAATTATGTGAGAAAACATTTTTTTTTTAAAAAGGGGGAGGCAAAAAATTAGACAGATTACTTAAAAATATTTTTTTTCCTTTGAACTGCACTTGCTCTGCTATTTGATACTATATATCTGGGGTGGCCTACCTTGATATGGGAGTGCATGTTGACCCTTGTCAATCATTTTATCTCAAAAGAAAGAGAATTTTGAAAGGTTAAAAGTATAGAAAATATCACTGAATTTCCCCCTCTTCACTCATAAAACGTATTTTATATTACTGTATGTGAAGACCCTTATATCTTCATTTCATCTCATTTTATCAGCATTTATACTCCTGGTGAAAGTAGGAGTTGAGTAGTTATAAGTAGAAGCATGAGAAAGGAAATCTTTTATGTATATATATATATATATTTGGAAATGCTAGCTGTAAGAAAAGCAAGAACTAC